GAGGGAGAGGCAGAGAGGGAGGGAGAGAGAGAAGAGGGAGAGAGAGGGAGGTAGAGGCAGAGAGGGAGGGAGAGAGAGAAGAGGGAGAGAGGGGGAGGGAGAGAGAGGGAGGGAGAGAGAGGGAGGGAGAGAGGCCTTCCATCTGCTGGTTCACTCCCCGTTGGCCGCACCGCGGGAGCTGGGCCGATCAGGAGCCAGGAGCCAGGCTCAGGCACTGGGGCGTCCTCCGCTGCTCTCTCAGGCGCATTAGCAGGGAGCGGGATCGGAAGTGGAGCAGCCGGGACTCGAACTGGCGCCCTTGTGGGATGCCGGCGCTGCAGGCGGTGGCTCAGCTGCCGGGCTGGGCTCAGGTCCCGCACGGGGGCGTGTGTCTGTCTGTCTGTCTGTCTGACTTGCTTGGTTCTGTCTGCGTTTGTGGTTAAAGGTACGATGTGATCGCAGGAGACTACTTATGGCGTTGGTCTTTGGTGTCCCCACTGCCCAGCCCTGGCAGGCGGGCCTCCTGCCGGCGCGTGCGCGTGCTGGGAGTGGAGGCACCTGGGGGCAGGGTCGCGGTGCGGGAGTTACCAGTGCGCCGGCTTTCTCCCTTCTGCCGTCCCGCGGCGTCCTCTCTCTGAGCGGTCGGGTCCGGTGGATGTGTCTCAGCCTCTCCTGCCGGACGGCTGGCGAACGGCTCCAGGTGTGGACCCCGGCGTCCAGGACCGTCTGCATTTACTGTCTTGGTCTCAGAATGGACGGAGGTGGCAGTGGACGCCCCTTCCTTGCTTAGCCGCCTAACCTGGATGGGGGGGGGTGCGGCCACGGGGAGGGCTCAGACGTGGCCTGCCTGGATGTGGCCTTGGGCCGAGCCAGGATGGCGCACCTGCTCTGTCGGGAAGGCGGGATTGACCTCAGGTCCTGGGATGGGGGGAGTGAGTCGGGCCACACCCGCCCCACCCCCCAGGCACCTCTCCCCCTCCTCGAGCTGAGGCCCCGCCCACCCACTCCTCCCGCAGCCCTGCCGATGGCCACGCCTCTTTCTGGACAGGTGTCCCTTTGTGGCTTGTTTTGCTCGGGGCTCGTGCGAGCCGCTCCCTCTAACCCATGTCCCTCGCGTGGCCGGACCGCGTCCTGTGTCCCGACACTGGAGTTGTTCACTTTGGCTGCCCTGGCTGGGCTGGGTGCACGCGCACGGGTGCCCCTTTAGACCCTGAGGCCACCGAGGGCCTCGAGTCGGGACGTCCGCGTCCCTGAGGTCGCATTTTCTCCTGTCCAGGCGTGTGCTCGCAGGGTTTGCGCTTTCCCGGGGACTGGACCCCTGGAAGCTGAAGACGGCCGTGGGCTGGATTCCCGGAGAAACGCACACGCGACAAGCGTCTGATTCCCGGCTCCCGGTGGCCCGTGTCAGAGCGCGCGTGAGGAGCAGCGCCGGGCTGAGCCGGGGACACGGGCTCCCTGCGGTCCCGCGAGGCTCCTGCCCGGCCCCTCTCCCGTCCCCGCGGCTCCTAAAGCCCTCTCCCCCCTCTTTCCAGCTGCCTCTCCCCGCGGCCGGGAGCTCTGACGAGGAAGCAGAGCGGCGTGGGGTTCGCCTCCTGTTTACCACGAAAGCGATGCTCACAGACGCGTAGTTACACGCACGCGGGGGCGCGGTGGACCACGCAGCTTGCACCCCGGACTGGAGGCAACAGAGGGTGGCGCGGTCGTGTTGCCGACCCCCACTTCTGCCGGGGGTGCGGTGGAGCCTGCCCCGGGAGGAGCCCGAGTCCTGGGCTCAGCCTCTGACTCCAGCACGGGGCCCTTCCTGCACCTCCCTGAGCTCTGGACGGAGAGACAAGATCCTGGGCGTGGGCCAGCCCTGTCGTCCCTCCCTCTGCCTGCCTCCCCTAACGTGCCTCAGCCTGTGCCGGGGGCGGGGGGGGTGTCGGCAGGGGCATGGCTTGCCAGCTCCCACCTGGCCCGCGGGCCCCCCACTCTCCCCGCCCTTGTCCCCGATGAGTCTTTACTGCGTGTTGACAGTGAGGGACTGAAGCCAGCAGGCACCCCGCCGCCGGAGCTGGCCCGGCTGGCGCTCTAACGGTAAAGTTCAGGTTAAGCAAAGCTTGGCAGAGCCGCAGTCCTGCATGGGGATTGGATGGGCTTGGGTCGCTTCCCCACTCTGCAAACCAGTCTCGGCTTCCACATCTGAAGACTGGGTGGAGGGGGTGGAGCCCCGTGCCCACGCCTGGCACACAGCAGACAGGAGTGAATGCGGTTCGGCTCCCCCACCCTCCATTTCTCCTTCCTGGCTGAGATGCGGGGCACGCGGTCGGTCTCCCAGGGTCCGCCCAGCGGCCTCCAGGCCAGCAGGGGGCTGGAGCGTCCTCAGGGAAGCAGAGCTGTCGGGGGGGGGGGGCGGTTGAGCATGGCTCCCCCCGTGGGTGCTCGTCTCAGAAGCAAGGCGGGCTGGGCGAGGTGACACCGGTTCTCCCTGGGCGGGGCGGGGCCCAGGCCCGCAGGGGCCGCGGGCGCTGCAGGAGCACAGGCAGCCACGCAGAACAGAGGGTTGGCTCTGTCATTCAAACGTCAGCTCGTCAGCCTCCGGCTCGAACCACGTGAGGCTGGCACTGCCGCCTTGGCCAGAAGGGTCTGTGTATCTTTGGTGGAGAAGGCGACCCTGGCAAGAAGAGGCAGTGTGCCAGGTTGGCCAGACTTTCCCAGCATGCAACAGGGGAGGGGGTAGAGAGAGTCCCTGGGAGAAAAGACGGGCACCTGCTTCCAGGGACCGACCGTGCTGGGGGGTCAGCGGTGAGTGTGGGGCCGGGGACTGCGTCCTGGGCAGGGCAGGGGGTCAGCCGTGACTGTGGGGCCTGGGCAGGAGGGTCAGGGGGTGAGTGTGGGCCGGGGACTGCGTCCCGGGCAGGGCAGGGGGGTCAGCCATGACCGTGGGGCCCGGGCAGTGCAGGGGGGTCCGCCGTGACTGGGCCCGAGGACTGTGTCCCGGGCAGTGCAGTGCACACAGTGGGCGCTCGGGAGGGTTTGCTACATGACCCGGCTCAGTCAGTATCTGCTGCGGGGCGCCGGGGCCCCGGAACTCCACGTGAGACGCCAGTGAGGCATCCGACGCGGCTCCCACAGGCGGCGGGGTGGGGGCTGGGGAAATTCTCCCTTAAGGCTTTCGTACTTGGCTCCTGCTGTCACGGCGTCTGGGGACTTTTGGGCCGTATTTCGATTCTACCTTATCTGTCCGTCCCAAACCAATGGACAGTAAGGGGACAGCCACGCCCTCTGCTTCAACGTGTTCAGTGGTCCAGTAAGGGAGACTCCCCGGGACCACCAGGGCCCCAGGCCTGAGGTCCGCGGGGGTCTCACGGGGGGCCCCCTAGTTCTCCAGTGGGGTTCAGGGCTTCGAGTCTCCCGGATGGCAGGAGGCAGCCGTGCCGGGAGGCCCGGATGGTGGCTGAGAGGGCAGTGGGTGGATCCAGGTTGCTGGCTCCCTCCTGCGGGGGACCAGGGCTACAGAGAAGGCCTGACGGGGAGCAGGACGAGGCCCTGTCCCGCTGTGCCTGGGGTCGCGGCAGGAGGGAGACGGGCAGGGGGTGGCAGCCGCCAGAGGCCACCCCCGGGAATCGCATAAAGGGCTCAGGGAGGCGTTCTGGTCACCTGTTTTTTGAGATTAAATTTAGTTGTAACCCCCCGCTAATTCTGTGCTAGCGTGACTGGGTTAGGGTAGGGAGACTCCGTCATCGCTGCTGGGGGTGCCCGTCAGGGGTTTCCAGAAGAGATAGCATCCAGAGACCCGGAACGGACGGCTCCCTCCTCCCCAGCGCGGGTGGCCGTGGCCAGGGTGCCGAGGGCCCAGGCAGGACAGCACGGTGCAGGAGGGGACGCGCTCTCTGCGGGCCTGGCCGGCGGCCTGTGCCCTCGGACACAGTGCTCCCGGAGCTCAGGCCTGGACTCTGGGGCTCCCGGCAGTGGTCTCCGGCTTCCGGGCTCTGGACTCGGGCTGAGCCGCAGCCCTGGCCAGACCGGCTTCCCGGCCTGCAGGCGGCCGCACTTCCTGGCTCCGGACTGCACGAGCCGGTTCCCGTGTGTCATCTCCGACTGCTTGTGTTTCTCGGGAGAGCCCTGCGGCGGAAGGAGGCGGCTCCCAGGGTCCCCTCTCAGAGAGCTGGCTGGGGCACCTCCCAGAGCGCCCTGGGGATCTGTGAGGGCTCGACAGGACAGGCTGCGACCCGGGTGGGGGCAGGGGCACTGATGGCCCTGCCAGGTGCGGAGGCCCCACCGCCGCCTCCCACTTGCGTAGGAGTGACAGCCGCCGAGGGGTCATGCACACGGGGCGCAGTGGTGGAGCCGGGCTCCCAGCCCTCCCGGCACTGAAGCAGGTGTGGTGGCCGGCCTGCTCCATGAGCCCCGCTCTCCCGAGACTGCTCGCCGGCTCCGTCTTCTCTAACTGTGCTCTCTGGGGTGGCCCCGGCCAGCCCAGCCCGGGGACAACCTGCGGCCGGCGACTGGCGTTCACAAGATTCTGCCGGGTCCCTGGGACTGCTCTCTGTGTGTGAACCCAAGAGCCCACTTCTTGCACGAGGGCCCCACGGACAGCAGGCAGGCTGAGGGGCCCCAGTGTGGGGCGGCCGGGCGGTTGCAGCTGGGCCTGGCTTCCTGGGACAGGAGGTGGCACAGTGTACAGACGTGTCCTTGGTGCAGGCCCCCAGGCCACTGCTGCGGGGCCCCGACACCTGGGGCGGAGTCCAAGGGGAGGCTCCCTTCCCTGCGCCCCACCAGGGCAGGGAGGTTGCTCGCGAGGGGACGGGGACAGGCCAGAGCTCCACAAAGCGCCGAGCCCAGGCCCTAAGGAATTCGTCCTCGGAAGTGCGTCCCAGGCCGGCCTGTGGGCTCCCCAGGCCGCGGCTCCCGCCACGCACGGGCGGAGGTGGCCGGTGCGCGGGGGAGAGCGCTGGCGCTGAGGCTCCTGGGAAGGGGCGGGGCCGCCACGCGTATTCACAGTTGCTGGCGGTTTTCTTGAGCACTCAGAGAGAGAGGCGTGTGTATACATTTATATTTACATTTACATATACATAGAGTACTCAGTCAGTGTTCTAGCGCGGGAAGCAGACCCACGGGTTCCGCCCATCAGACTCCTGAGAGCCACGTCCTGTGCTGTGGCGGGAGGCCCCGTGGGCAGTGGCCGTGGCTGTAGGCTTGTCGGCCCCCACGTGGGGCCCTCACACGCCCTCTCCTGTGGCCTGCTTCCTGTTTTGGATGTCAGGGGCCTGAGCCTCCCAGAGCCTCTGGGGTGGGGGGTGAGCGCGTGCCGGGCCCCTGCCCACGCGGTGGGCATGCAGTGTCCCGGGCCATGGGCGTCCCGCTGGTGCTGGCCCAGGGTGGGCG